CCCCTCAGTTCCTATACGTACAGAATTTGAATGCGATGGTGCCCGAGTTGACCCGCAAACGGGAACAAGGGTGCAGGTGTGCTTCATTCCGACCCAGGTACTCGTTTACTTGGGTTAACTGCAACCCTCTATGGGGGTACAAAGGGGAAAAAATGAAGAAAACCCCCTTCTGCCATTCACGTCATACGGAGCGTACTTTGAATCCCAGCAGCACAGCTGCAATAAAATGAAATAAAAAAGGGATCCTCGAGATCCTGTGCCCTGATAAAGTTTTATTTCTCGTAGTATTTTTTCTGCTCTTTCTTATTTGATTCCAATGGTCATGAAATGTGTGCATAAGCGGGTTAAAAAGAAAAAAGAGATGAAGTCCGTCGAGTGATGAATAATTAAACGAATGCTTTCGCAATTCCGCTTGACATTTCCCAGAAAATTTCGCCGCAAGCTCCCAGAAGAACCCGAAAGTACACGGGTATATCTTCCCTGCGAACGAATATTGCTTCGCCTAATGGTGTGACACGACCAGATGCTCGTCTGGGGAAAACATGACCAACCAAACCGAAATTACACCATCCAGAAAACCCCTTGGTTATAACCCCCGCTGTCGGAATGCGCGGGGAACAATCAGCAATCCACGTGGCTGGTATATAATAGGTCAGCCTTCGCTTTTCCCCCTCGGGGATGGATCTGTAATAGATTCAATCCATCCCCTGCTGCCTGGGCGTTTTTATTCCATATATTAATTGTTTTTTTCCTCCGCCGGTCATTATTTGGGTTCCGGTGGTCCCTGAAACAACAAGACCTATGGGTTGTCCCCCGAGGCACCCACTTGCTGAAATCGTCCGTGCCAGGTTCGGATGGAGGGTTCCGTCGAGTGAAGGAGAGAGGCATTTCTTGAATCTCAGGACTAAATTCCTTGTCACTTCAAATTTCCCAATAAACAAAGGCATCAGGTTTCGATGGCATATCAGACCGAGAGACCAGGTTGAAGAGCACTTTCAAGCATGAACGCTTGAATTCAAGCAATAAAATTCGCATAATATGACAAAAACCGGTCCTAAAACTTAGAAAAAAAAGTACGAACAATGACTCTTATTATAATTATTGAATAGTACTTATTGAATTACTTGTATTATTTTTCAGCTCGGGAATTTTTTTCTTAAAACAAGTACCAGCCATGAGCATTTTTTTATACTTCGATTATTTTGGTACATTTCAGTTTCCCAAAATATCGTGTCATCTTCTTGATGGTCTTCAATTGTAAAACTGTGGATAAATCGCACGATATGACTATATATTAGAGCCAGGCCATTTTTTTGAAAATGTCTTTAAATTAGATGAAGTGTCGAAGAATTATTTCCCTTACGCATAAAGTTTAATCACATTACTTTGGATTTTTTTTTAATTATGGACATTTGGCATTTTCCTTAAATAAGTTAGCTTCAATTCATATACTGTATTAGAGTGTCGTTTTTGGAAATTGTGATATTGATGAACGTTTCACTTCGGTCTGCATGCAAACGATATCTAAAATAGAATTTCTTCAAATATGTCGGGTATATTTATTTGAAAATATTTCTGAGAATGCTTATAGCCAACTGCCAAGTATCGTGCGTTTCATTTAGATGTTTTTATTGCTTAACCAAGGCTGTACAAGAGAGGAAACTTGTACTTTTTGAGGAAAATGTCATGGAGAATAGCGTAAGGAAGACTGACAGTGAGTCCTGTATTCATATATGTAAAAAAAAAATGATTTCCAAAAATTACGAAAAAGAAATGCTTTCCTCAAATTGTTCTTTTTGATTGTCAGAGTTGAACGCAAGGAAGGCTGACAGTGAGTTCTATTCATCAGTTCAGCGTCGGGATATTTATTATTCGCTTAGAAAAAAAAAGAGTAGCAGTCACGAGCATTGCCATGATTCATTCATTTCAAATCACTACTTATAGTTGTCAAATAAAATTGCCGGATTCCTTTTATTGAAGTTTTAGATGATTGTCAGAATTAATTTGAGTGCGACGGCCCTCCGACACCAGCGTGGCAATCTACCCCCTCCCAGCTTCTGCCCATGAATAGTGGAGTGCAAAAAATATTTTCTGCGGTTGCTTTGATAAATATAGAGCACTGTTGGGCAGCAGACATACAATACTTCTCATGCTTCCTCTCTTCTGTCCATTTATCAGGGTAAAAAAGACCAGAGCCAATCCCCGCCACAAACAGCCAGGACGAGAAGTACAGTATATTAACTCTCATTCTTTGGGGGTAGAAAAAAAAGAGAGAAAACAGAGCAGAAAAAATATCACCGAATGAAAATAACAGGACATGCTGATGCTATATGACTGCCTGATGATGGTCGACGTTTATCTATTATTTTTTTGCTGGTCAATGGAAATTAAAACAGATCAGCACTGTGTCACGCACACAGAAAAAAATAAACTTTCCTGAATTCAAGACAGGATTGCAGTTAATTTAAAAAGAAAAGCACACCTTTGCAGAGTCTGGAGAGTTGGAAATACAGATGCTCTATAAGATTCTCTGATGATTGTCAGTGATTTTTTCCTATGCTGAATCAATCAAATCATCGATTATAGTCAAGGAGAACAATGAAATATTCCCCCAGATTAAATTCTTGTGTGATTGTATCTAATTGTAAAAGCACACATCGATTTGGAGTTCGGATAGTTAAAAAATACCCAGAGATATTAAAAGGCTTTCTGATGACGGTGTACATTTTTCAAATAAAATATTATACTAATCATCCAAGCTGTTCGAGGAGAGAAGTAAAAAAAAAAAATGCTGCGATTAAATTCTAAATATATAGCAAAAAGCCCATCTTTCCGGAGTCCAGACAGTTCTTAAAGACTCAAAGATATGCGATGAGATTATCTGATGTTTGTCAAAATTGCGAATTGAATCACCTCATCCATTAGTCATGGAAACAAAAGGAAAATTTCTTTTGAGACGACATTCCACAAATAATTGCATCCACTTTAATCCGCAGAGGCCGTTTCCGAAAAGACCAACAGATGATCCAAGATTCTCTGACGAATTTCAATCAATTTTTGTTAAATGCAAGGTCAAACAAATAATCAATTAGTCATGGAGAAAAAGGACATTTTCCTGTAACTAAATTTAACGTGAATTGCACATAATTCTGTTGACCAAAAAGAGCGGGCAGTTGAAAAAGACCCGAAGAAAACCCGAAAAAAAACAGGGACATTCCAGGTTTACTAATTTCAGTATTTCATCTAATTTAAAAAGCTCAACTTCGAGGAGTCCGGACAGTTGCTATAAGATGCTGCAAGACTCTCTGAAGATGATCAATAATGTTTTTTTTCTTCCATGCAAATTTTTGAAAAAATCCTCAATTAGTGAAACAGAATAATGAAAAATTTCCTGACACGAAATTCCACACAGATTGCACGTAATTTAAAAAAAAACACACGCACACAATCGTCGCGTAGTCCGAGCGGGCAGTTGAAAAAGACCCAAATAAGGAACCCCGAAAAAAAAAACAGGGACATTCGAGGTTTACTCTTTATAATGGAAACCTACTGTTGCGTGTGTCGAACAACAGCACGCGAGGCTCCTGAACTAGAATACAGCACAGTACGTTCTTTCGTGGCGGAAAATGCGCAGAAGAAATCACTTTTGTTTTATTTACTTATTTTTTTCATCCTTCTTCTTGTTCCTTTCCTATATAACCTGGGTTCCCTGCATGGGTTGGTTGGCAACAAGCAGTTGAAGCTTACGGGTTCGAGTATTGACAAATCTGGGCAACGACGCCCTTGTCTCGGGCTCAGAGGTGAGTGTAAAGGTGTTCTTTCGCTGCAGTGCGCACAAAGCAAAAATGTGTCCATGATGATTCATATATACTCGCTTTCTCTTCATGGGAAGAATGAATGAACGTGCTCAAATTATTATTTTTTTTTTGCATGACTCAAAATTATACAGATATGTACCGTATATTTACAGCTATGTTTATCTTTTTAAACAACGAGTTCCAGTTAGTTTTTATTTTCTTTTTGGAAAGGAATAAGAATTTTTCTTTTCACTTAGGCCTCGAAATAGTGAACCACGGGGTTGAAAAGGGACGGTTTTTTTTAAATGCTTGAATCCGTTGAAGGAAACTTTTCTGCAGGGCTTTTTGTGCAATCCAGGCTTAAAATTCAACCTTTGCTATTTTTCCAATCAGTATTTTCCTTGCAAAATATTTTTGTGTCTCAGTGCCATAATTTCCAGTACCGATTGAGATAAATAACGCATTTTTTCTTATAGGAAATCCCTCAACTGCCAAAAAACACGTCCAAATGAACAAATTGGCATTCGCTATCTTGGCAGCAGAAGTATATTGATGCTGCGCATCTGGAAATAATTTGCAAGCGTCCTGCCATTCGAAAATAATTTACCGACCAGCGTAATACTTTAGCAATGTCTGTGAATTTATTTTTTCTGAAGTATCTCTGAATTTTTGTTTCTGCAAGGATGAAGAATGCAATTTCAAAGCCAAATCAGGGAGCAGCTTTCTAATTTCAGTTACAGCACGCGCGTCGTTCCATGGCTTTTAAAATATGCAAATTTCATCAAACTTTTCATATTTTATTTGTATTATACTTAAATTTAGGTCAATTAAATGTAGTTTGAAAATAGTTTGAATGCGTGAATTTTTTATATCACTTACTGAAGACATGCGGAAGTGTGACGCGTTCTGTGCCTCTGTCACGGCCAAAATCAGCGAAATGTTCTGTTCTCTTTGTTTGTTATTTTGAAAGATAAATTTCAAGAAAGTTTCGTTCCTGATACAGTACAACCCTCCAAAATGTGATACTGTATTATTTAAAGACGCGCCGAGTAAAAAAAAACACCTCAGCACAGTACTTCGTCCTGCGCAACTATTTCTGTTTGACCATTTGATATGCAGTACTTGATGCAGTCTAGTACAGGCAATTATTCATGCTATTATTTTGTTTTAGGCAATCGTCAAGGATTTTTCTCATCAGTAAGAATGATTGCCGAACTAGGGTAACCTCGCATTTTATTATTTTGGGGCCGGGCAACTCTCGAGGATTTTCCCCTTCATCGAAAATCATTCAAAACCGCGCCAAAATTGTGAACACCTTTCGATCGTACAGTGTACCTCAGAGTTCAATACAGTTTCAAGTAGTACATCGTAGTCAACACGATTCCTGACGTCTCATTCCTTAAAATTCGATGTGTGAATAACGTTCAAACAGAAGCCGTTTTGAAAATGAGATCATAGTTTCTTGCCTGCTATTATTTGATCATATTTTTGGGAGGATTTTTCCAATCATGGAAAAATCAATCAAAATTATGAAAAATCTATCGCTTTTACAGAATTGTGCTTCATATTTCGTTAAAATATTTCTTCCAAGATATCAACATAAATCATGTCCTTAAATTCGATGAACGAATACAGTTCTCGCAGAGGCCGTCTGGGAGACGTGATCATATTTTCTTGCTCGCTATTATTTAATTATGTTTTTGTGAGCATTTTGCCCATCAATCATTGAAAAATCAATTAAAACTATGAAAATTCTATCGCTTGTACAGACTTGTGCTTCATCTATCACTACAGTATTCTTTCCAAGATATTAACATAAATCATGTTCTTAAATTCGATGAACGAATAATGTTCTTGTAGAGGCCATTTGGGACACGTGATCATATGTTCTTGCTCGCTATTATTTGATTATGTTTTTGGGAGAATTTTGCCCATCATTGAAAAATCATTCAAATTTACGAAAAAAATATATCGTTTGATGTACAGATTCGTACTTGATATTTCACTACAGTATTTCTTCCAAGATATTAACATGAATCATGTCCTTAAATTCGATGAAGGAATGATGTTTTCGCAGGGGCCGTTTGGGAGACGTGATCCTGCCGCTGACGACGGGCCAGCACCACCATCACCAGGCCATGCCGGGAGTCAACAGGGTGGACGCCAGCGGACAGCAGCGCCTGGTTGAACTGTTTTGGCAGGACAGATTCCTGCCAGGACTCGCGACAGCTGCTTCCGGCTCTCCGCGCCCTNAAATCATGTCCTTAAATTCGATGAAGGAATGATGTTTTCGCAGGGGCCGTTTGGGAGACGTGATCCTGCCGCTGACGACGGGCCAGCACCACCATCACCAGGCCATGCCGGGAGTCAACAGGGTGGACGCCAGCGGACAGCAGCGCCTGGTTGAACTGTTTTGGCAGGACAGATTCCTGCCAGGACTCGCGACAGCTGCTTCCGGCTCTCCGCGCCCTGATAAAAAGCTGCCCATGCTGCACACACCTGCTGCGGCCCTAGCGGGCAACGGGTTCAGCCTGCTCGGCTCATCCAACCCCGGGGTCAACTCCACCTGCTCCTCCTCGACCATAGGTACGTGTTATTCCAGGTCAAAAAGTACTGTACTGTACTCTACTATACTGTGTACTGCTGGATTCAGTCGCTTATGCACGAGACGTACGCCGTCGATCATAAAACGCGACTCTATTTTTTTTTGTCTCGAAAATAAAACTGGGAAAATTCAGCGAGTATTCGTGAAATACACTCGCATTGTAACTATAGTGTAATTTAAAGGTAAAATATCGCTACAACCAACGTACGTTCACGACAAACATGCTTACAGCGCATTTTTAAAAAAATGAAAATTATTCAATGAAATCAAGTAGAAAATTCTGCAAACCCGAGTTTTTTCCTGTCCATATCAGAATAACAATATCGAAGAAAAAAGGGGGTTCCCAGTATAGACATCCTCAAAGATTACACCGCACCAAAAGCGATCAAGTGCGAAAGAAAATGTTCTTCGAATTTTTTTCGAAGTAAGATTTTTTTTACCCTTCCGTAAACAGTAAAATGTTGATTCAGAATTGCTTCATTATTTAACAAGCTAAAGGAAAAAACAGAGAGCAAATTTACGAACTGCGATAATTCGAAGCATAGGCGGTATAAAAAAAAACACTCCAAAAATAGTAATGATTGGTACATGAACCGATGAAATTCGTTAGGAACAGATATTTATTCCCTTATGTTTGCGGTTTTTTTTTCTGCGGGCCTTTAAAAATTGCATTTGGATGAATAGTTTTTTTATAACTTAATTCAGTATGAAATCTTTCTTGCATTTATAGGGCAGGCAATTGATTTTATTACGTTTCAGTTACGAGTTTAATCTCATGGTTAAAATACCTCCAACCGGAAAAAACCTGATATTACAATTGATTCAGGGCTTATTTCCTTGAAAGAAGGTCATAATTCAGCTGAAAAGTCGTAGGTATATTTTCCGTCAAAAAAGGATGGAAAAGTCTTTTATTTTAAACATGGAAACCTGCTGACTTACACTTGAAGCGCTGGATGATGAGATGAAGCTGATTCACTCAAGCAAAATTAAAATCAATCGATATTCCGAAGAAAAAAAAGCAATATGATGATAGCGTGTTTTCCTTCTTATTCGCAGACAATTCGCACAAAAAACGTAGCACCGTGTCATATCTCTGGCTTGTTATAATGAAGTGAATACAGTACTTGAAAGAATAAACGCCAGCAGCAGCAGCAGCACATAGCATCCAATCACGCCATTTTCACAAACTTATCAAAATAGAGTGTATGAGAGAAAATGCATCCGTTTTTTCTTTTCTTTCTTTCTCTGATTCCCCACATCGCAGGCGAAGCAGCAAAACAAGCCATGAGCAAAGTTGGAAATCAGACCAACTCTCAGGACCCGCAAGCCGTCAATTCCCGAGTTTTCGTCGGCAATCTCAACACTTTCCAAGTAACCAAAACGGAGATCGAGAAAATGTTCCAGCCCTACGGACGAATTGCAGGTCGGTCCGACTCCTTTTCTTTCGGAAATAATAATTAAAAAAAAAAGAAAATCGATGAGGGGCAACAAAAAAAAAACCTGTCGTAAATAAGAAGAAGAAGAAAAAAAAAAAAAAGAGGAACCACGCGACTCAGCAGCAGCGACATCCATAATTTATTGCGCTATATATGCATCAAGTACCGCCCACTCGAAGCAGACGAGTAGTGGAGCACCATCAATCCTCGACGTTCATAAGCCATAACTGCAAACAGGGGAAAACTGGTCTCGGATGTTACGTATATACAGTACAGTATATGGCAACCTTTCATCCCGCACACGTACGCGTACACAAAAGTAAAGTTTGCAAGCAAACTTTTCATTCATTTGTTGCACAGCATATTTGTTCTCTTTCTCTCTTTTTACAGATCAGTGGCTCAGCTGAGCGTGTATGTAGTCGTGAACAAGGGTATCTTTCTCCCCCCCCTTTTTTTCTCTGATAACTGTCAGAAGCCAGAATGTATAGAAACGATCGCCTTCATATAAAGAAGTAGGGTCGACATTGTAGATGCCAGCTTTTCAACGAACTTGAATAATTCAATAGAATTTTCCGGCCAGCTTCAGATGCTTGCTCAGATAAATCTGGGAATACAAGAAAACATTTTGACTAGTAACTCCGAGTCTACCGAATCTATAGCCTCAGGGCAGCTGAAACGCATATATTGAGTGTCTCCGAAAAATCAAAATAAATAAAAAAAAGTATCTTGGGGAAAAAATAACAGTTAAAAATGTGAAAAAGGCTGATTATAAAGGTAGATTACATATACCATAGACGTAAACAATTTTAAGATAAAGGTTTTTTTTTATTTATTTCATACTTCGAAAATGATTTGTTCTTTTGATGCATCTTATCCGTTTTTATATTTTGAATTGAACAGCTGCGTATACTGCACATCCAAATTTTCAGTGTATCTGTAACATTTATTCAAATATTGAAGCAGTCTTTTTTTCTGGTGATGAAACTGTGTTTGGGGTTGGTTTTTTTTTTTTGAGGAACATGGGGTCTTAGCTAAAAACACAATTTACTTCTGCGCGATTTTTGTCAGCTGGAATAAGTAAAAAGTTGGGTAGGAACATTTGCAATCCCTTTTTAGAGAAATATTTAAATTTTGTCACACAAAAAAACATATTTTCAAGATGAATTCCTGCTTTTAAGCCAGTGCGGGAACCTAACAAACATCGTGTATCGGCTAAAAAGAATGTAAGCCAATGATTCCAGCAGATGATACCCTTCAAAATCTTTAATTTAAGATGTCATTTTGTAATATTTCTCCATACCTAGTTTCTCTTTACTTGAATAAAAGTAATCTTAAGTATTACAAACAAGGTATTTCAATCACAGATGAGAAGTGTCGCGCAGGAAAGATTTCTTATACACAACTTTTTATGAATATGTGTTGACAGAAAACCCGAATTTTCATTTCCTTTTCTTTCTTTTTCATTAATTAAAGGTTCCAGTCCAATAGCGACGATGTTAATTTTTATTTGCAATTAACATCGTGGCTATTGGGCTGGAACCTGAAAAGCAAAATTGATGTAAGCAATAATTCGTCGTATCAATATTTTCATATATTATTATTCAGTGTTTTCTAATTAACGAAAAAGAAGGAAAAGAAATGAAAATTCGGGGTTTCTCTATCGCCTTCAGCGCCCAAGAATTTTCAGGTTTGCATCCCCGATATAATTCTGCAAAGTCTTTGTTTGGAGCAATGCTGAGGGAAGCCACTCGGTAAATTGATGACACACTATATTCTCAGACTACCAATCCATTCCAACTTTCCTTATTATTTTTTGGCAAAGCTAGCCTCATTTCCCATAGAATTGTTGAGAGGGTTCTGCGAGTTCCGGAGGAATCATTGATTGGTCGCGGTTTGCAGATGCTGCCCGAATATAAGGGGGAACACAGAAAACGGACTGTGAATCCTCCTGAGTCTCTGCAAATAAATTTCAGCACTTTGTCAAGTCAATTCCTCCTTTCTTTTTATTTTCCTTTTTCTCGTCATCATCCAGGAAAAAAAAACACATTTTCGGTTCCCCCCCCCCATCGCAAGACTCGCAGGAAATACCCTCGAAGAAAGCCCTAAGAATGTAACACATTTGCGAGGCTCACTCAACAACATCGTGTGTGACTTGCTCGTAAATGTCAATCCTCAGAAACAAACGAGCATTTCTTCAATTTAGAACCGTTTGAAACCGCGGAACGGCTATGCTGTTTATTCTTCGCCACGCCCCAGTTGATTTTAATTACTATTCCGAAACACCGGAGCGAGAAAAAAAAAGTTGATTGCTTCGCAGTTTTCGTGCCAAGTACTCTCGCAGTATTATTGGTAGTATTTTTGCGTAGGAAATGACTCGCAAATAATTGAGACGGGTTTGGTGAAATAAAATATAAACTTGCATTCCGCGTATCCCACGGGGGTTATACTGTATGTGTGAGACGGAAGAAATTTGCAATTTATATGCTTTCGCCACGATTTGAGATACGTAAAAAATAATTTCTCGAGACTGCAGATTTTTTCAATTATTTTTTTGTGTGGTGGTTCTCACGGGTTGTTTCCGACGGACGAAATTTTTACTTGCAGTTTTTGCGTGATTCATGATTTTTTCAATGTAGTTCCGTCACTGTAGTGTTTTTTCAACTTCGATTTTTATTTTTTGGAGAAACATGGTTCCTACGAGACGGAAGAAATTTGCTTTTGCTGTTTCTCCGCGATTCAAGATTTTTTAAATTTACATTTTTCCTAAATGTGGTTTCTGCGGGTCACCTGGGACGGAAGAAATTTACACTGCTGTTTCTCCGCGATTCAATATTTTTAAAATTTAGTCATCGATGAATTAAAATTTATTCATCAATTTATTCAAAAAACTTTGCGATTTTTTTTATGTAACCATGGTTCCTATATGAGTTATCTGCGACGGACGAAATTTGCACTTGCTGTTTCTCCGTGATTCAACGGATAAAAAATAATGTACATATTCCCGAGACTGGAGTTTTTTTAATTTCAACTTTTTATGGGAACATTGTACCATTTATACAGGTTATCTGCAACGGAAGAAATTTGCACTTTATTTTTCTCCGCCATTCAAGATTTTAAAAACATATTCCCAAAGTTTTTTTTTCAATTTTGATCTTGTTTATGTTAACATGGTTTCTTGGTACCTTTATGAAAGAATGTTGGGGTGAAAACTATATACAGACGAAAATGCAAGGAGAAGACCAGTCCACCAGAAATCCTCGTCATAAAAAATGCCCCGAATGCCAAGATGGAAAAAGAGAAAGAATCAGCCGAAAAAAAAGCAGAAGAAAAAGAAGAAGAAGGGGTTTTTACGGAGAAACTGAGGGGGTTCGGAAATAAAGGGGGGAGGGGGGACTCTGACACTGACGGAAAATGGTCTTTGTCAGCCAATCAATTGAAAGGCGGTGCCGAGACAAGGCTGTCGGCGGAAATCCGACCCCGCACTTCCCGGGCAGCATCAGCACAGAAGGGTCCACAGTATTCTTATTATTATTTTTTCTCTTTCTTTTTATTATTATTTTCCCGTCTTTCTATTCTTCCGCGACTTCCAAAGTCTGCATTCGTCCAGTCGATGAAAACGGAGCACACTTTGGCCATCCATCAGCAGGAAAAGCAGAGGGAACACCACAGGGATCAGTTGAAAAGTAGCGGGAAATCAGCCAAAGTTCTGTCCACGTTTCAAAAATTTAGCGATGAAAACTTTGCGAATTCAAGTGCTGAATCCACCGTTAATAGCTCCATTCAAATGAGCCTCCCCCCCAATTACTTTTTGTGTTCACAGGTGATGCCATATTATTCCCTTTTTTTAAGGATTGTCAGTAGTGCTGAATTTCCCGAGAAAATGGCTGAAAACGTGTTCTATTTTTCAGGTGAGGATATTTCTAAAAAAAATTGTTCCTTGGCCAAATGAAAATATCATTCTGTGACAATATTTTTTTGGCACTTGTTTGAATGAAGCTCAGTTATACATGGAACTCACTTATACTAAGAAAGAAATTTCCAGCATAATTGCGCCCCCAGTAAAGAATTTTGGCATCATTTGTTGATCAGCTCCATGATATTTATATTCCAATAAGAAGCAGTTTTTAGGCACGTTGGCAAGCTGTAAGAAATAACTGTTTTTCGATCGCTAAGTCAAATAAGTGAACTCCATTCAAATGAGCGCAAAAAAAAAAAATATTGTCCCTAAGCTGAGCATGAACTCCATGATATTTTTATTTGGCCAAGAAACAATTTCTATACATGTCCTTGTCTGAAAAACAGCACACGCAGTCAACCATTTTCTCGTGAAATTCAGCCCTGACAATCTTTCAAAAAAAGGGAATATGGCATCACCTATGTGAACCATTCTTTTATTGCGCAAAACTCTTGTACGGTTTCATGGAACAATAAATTTTCAGATGCTGTAACACAAATACGAGCAATACGAACTATATTGAGATTTCATAATGGGAATTATGCTATGCACTGAGTTAAAAAATAAATCCTGCTTCTGCGGAGAAAAAGTTATGCAACACAGTTTTCTTTTTCCCCCAAGTTCAGAAACAGCTTGGGTTGTGCTCATTTTTCCTTCACGCTCGAAGAAATTGCACTTTTTCATGAATCACTCGACGGTTGCTTTCAAAAAGCTTTCTTTGTTCTGCAAATAAACAACCAGATTTCCTGCTGTAAAGAATGGCGATCAGAGTGACAATAACAGGTTGGGATACCGACTAAAAAAATCGGCACATTGCCGACATCCTTGGATAAGATGTTTCAGTTTTGCTGACGTAAGTTTTCAGCGTAGTTTCACGATGGAGGGGGGGGGAGATAAATTTCAGGAATCTTTGGAATGCTGCTTCGCTATTCCTTATACCTAAGTCAAGCTATTATACACCTACATTTTTATAAATCATTATGCTAGATATTCCTTAAAAATTCAAGTCTATTTCTATAACAGAAACATTTATGAAATCCCTTACAGAAAGCATTCGTTCGATCACTAAGGTCACATTCTGACCATCTTTCAGCCCTACAGAGGCGGAAAAGAGACAAATAAATTGCCACCATCATTTCTGGCAATCTGCTTTAATCAAAGGATACTGAAAATTTTACTTTTTTACATGTCTTCATCTGAGCTAAAAGTAATCAAATTCATGCCCCCGACGATTTCAATTCAAAGTCGCACAAAGATTCAGTCCGCTGGATTTTAATTTATTAGTTTTCGACTCAAAAGCATGATTTCTCTCTTTTTTCACTAATTATTTATTTTCTTATGAAAATCGGATAAAGTGCTAGGAAAAAAGCGACAATATCGTTAATTTCATCTTCAAGAGAGCTTTTTAAGCATTCTAAAACATGTATTTCGAGGAATAATAGTGCGAATAAA